TAAGGTCTCCTCTCATGCTCATTCATATTTTGGGGTGCATTAATTATTATGTATAAATGATGAATATGAATACTTTGTTTTGTTTTATTGTATTATGACACTAAAGCATTGAATATGAATTTTTTTTATTAATATAAGTATATATTATTATAATTTTATAAGGATTTATTTTTATTTTCATTGCCGTGTCCCCATATCTGTATTCGTGTCCTAATTTTTTGAAATTTTCCTTGTTGCCGTGTCGCATTTTCGTGTCCCCATATCCGTATCCGTACAACACATTTGGAAAATCTAGTTATACAATTTTCCCAACTCATTTGGAAAATGAAAATGCTCCCGCGAGATCATTCCCATCGAACTACTCCGGAAACGGTGTCGTTTATTACAAAAGGAAGGAAACAAGGGAAACGCGGGTCAGAGGACCGACATTGACTAACTTATGCATCGAGGCGGGACTGCCGATTTTTCTCGCACTTTTTTTCTTTCTTTCTCGAGAACCAACCAATCCAAGGAAAAAAACTAGCTAAGAGACTCTGCGAGGGTTTAATTCGAACTCTAAAACCCTAAACCTTGAAAAGGCTACAGAGAGAGAGCAATGGAGGACGGTCGTGGTAAGGCGGTGTGCGGTCAGGAGGCTCTGGATCTGCTCAACTGCGTCACCCAATCTCCTTTCGATCAAGAAAAATGCGTCCGCCTCTTGAATTCCTTGCGAGAATGCGTGCTGAACAAGGTCACCCACTCCCTCTTTCTCTCTCAAATCACATTCTTTTTCTTATTTCCTCTCTCTATTTTGAATTTGTATGTAAATTTGTCTCTAATTGGTTTTTTGTTTTTGTAATTGATCAAATTAGTGGCTCATAATTGAGAATGCCTTTATGGTTGGATTGCCAAATTAGTGGCTCACAATATTTATGCCTCTTTTTTTCTTGGAAAGCATGAAGCTTGTTTATGTTCAAAGACAAAATCCTATCACAATATTCCACTTAAAACCGGTTTATGATGCATGCTTGAAATAATTAAACTGCTTCATGGTCCTGGTTTGTTTATTGTCTAATGAAATAACTAGCATAGCCTAGGCTGACTGATGACTGGGATTCTGACTCTTCCAGGCAGTTTCTTTTCCAATCATTTGTAGTGTTGATGGGATCTAATCTTAGGGAAGCCATTTAATTTTCGGGAAGGCGTTTTTATGCAACTGGAGTTTTTTTTTTTAAGTCTTGAACTTGACACCAATGTTTCCTCAAGTCTATTCATTTTTTCTCCTTCTAATGAAGTTCTATGACATTGAAGATGAGGGAATTGAAGTGAAGTAGCCATGAAATTGATCTTTGGATACATAAACTTGGTATTCAGTGTGTAAAAAGGGCAATTAGCTTCCTGATTTCTTTTGGGTTTTCAAGTTATGCCAAATGCTGTTGAGAAATCAAGCCTATAGATGCTCTTTTAGTCTTTCACAAATATAAAACAGCTCCGAAGTCAATATTAACCATAGAAATTGTGATTCGTTTCAAGCTGTTCATTGTGTAACGTTTTTACAATCTTGATAGTTGAGTTTCTATGAGCTTATTAGGCCAGTGGCCTTACCTAGATGTATCGTTCTAATTTCTGAAGGCAAATTTGTGCTTGCATTTATGCAAACACTCACATGTTTCTTTTTTCCTAGCAGAAAGTGAAGAAGTTTTCACTAGCTGACCAGGAACAGAAGGATGCAAAGCCAATTGACAAGAAAGCTTGATTGCATTCGGTATTGATAGGATTGCTAGGCCTGAGGTCTTTTCTCATGTCGACTACTCTTTCTTTCCCCTCTTCCATTTTTATGTTCAACAATTGTTGAAGTCATATCATCACTTAACTGATGGTTGTGTATCTGAGAGCGGAAGCCCTCATGCTATTGATGTTTGCAGAATGTTATTTTGATCTGGATCTGCAGGGCATTTCATTTGAGAGTTTAGACGGATGGCACCCTTTTTTGTAGTATTTGACACTCCCATTTATTATTATGTTAAATTTTATATAAGATGGTCAAACCTTATCATTGTAATAGTTATATTAATAGAGGAATGCCAACAGCATCACTGCTAATTTCATCTGATGTTAGGCCATAATATCTCATCCGGAATATCAATTCTAACTTTCTTCTGGCAGAAAATCAAACCTTTCCTTCCTCTTCTACTTTTGAGCTTCATGTCGTTCGGCAAACGGATTTGCAATTGAGAATATGAATATGGAAATGCAGCCACAATTCCTTGACCAAGGGCACTAGAGCTAGGAACTTTATGAAGCCCCGATTGCAAGCATGGGTTTTGAAAGAACAGAGCCATCAAAGCGATGCTCCATATAAGAAATGGTAAATATGAATGTGAATTAGACCAACATGAAACAAAGTGATAACATTAGCATCAGCCACCAAAGCCCCAACAACAGCAATTTGTCAAAGTAAAGAATGCTACATGCAATGTAATACACAACCGTGATCAGGCATCATCAGCCCAAGTCTTAGACTAAACAAACATTCCTAACCCTGATTCCATCCGTTCCCTCCATCGTCATGAGCTGAGTTTAGAATACGGGAACATCGGGACTGTGGATGAGGTATGTGAGCACGAGGGCGAGCAACATTAGCACGCACGCAATCCCTTGGTCAAGGGTTGTCCCTGAAAATAAGGTGTGAGAAAATCCCAGTTCACAGAAGATATAATCAAATAGATGCGACAAATGCAATCACATTTCCAAGACCCCATAAAAGATTTCAACCTTAAAGAAGCCTCATATAAACTCAAAGAACCAAATGGGTTCACCTAGATGGATCCCTTTTTGCAATATGTTACAATGTAAGGCACACGTTCTTTCTCTATTAGACTCTTGTTTATCTAAAGAAACAAACAAATTTTTATTTATTTTTAAATGAAAAAAAGGCATGATCTCATGAACCAAAACCATGAAATTTGAGATCCAAAGGAGCTTAAACTAAACTAACCATCAGTGCCGCTGTGACTGGGAGCTGGGGCGGGACTCGGAGGCAGAGGTGTTGCCTGAACAGCAGAGATGGCAATAGCAAAAACGAGAGCAGCAACAGCCACAACGCCTAAAGGCCTGGGAAGAATGGCCATTGTTGTTGCTCTCTCGCTCTCTCTCACCCTCTCGGAGACCCTGCAACAAAATGCAAATGGCTGCTCCCGAGAGGCCCCCTCGGAGAAAGAGAGAGCGATACAAATAATGAGGGGGTAGAGAGAAGAAACCCAAAGAGCCGAACGCTTCTGAGACCAATGGCGCTTATTGTAGGCAAAAAGAGAGAGAAAATGGTGAGAAGAAGAGGCTTTCTGTTATTGTGTTACAATTTTGGGCAAAGGCCCGGAGACAAAGCCGGTAATGCCGCTAGCATCTTGGGGGTGGGGTCCACTGTCCATGCGCCTGTTTCGGTGATTGTCTGAGTGAGAGAGAGCCTCTGAGTTCTTCCGCCTGCCCATCCCCTATCCCCATGCAACGCACATAACCTCAGCCCGGGAAATTTTTTAAATTTTTTTTTCTTCTCACCATTTAAAATAATTTTCTTGGAAATTTTCGGAAACCATTTGAAAGTATAACTGTCGAATAGTGCTTGTACTTCGGTAAATCCTATGAGAATTATAAGTCATTTTATTTCAAATTTTGAATACATGCAATTACTCACAAGTCACACGTATTAGTAAACTTGAATACTAAGTCATCGTCAAGGACAGATCCATGATTTCAAAATTAAGTGGGCTAAATTTACTTTACGCATAGAACCTAATTGCAAATCCCTAATTGATAATTCATAATATTGAATTGAAAATCCTTAATTTATACTTCTTGAATCTTAAAAGATCCCCAAATTTCAATAACAATAAATTGAGGAAAGAAAATTGTAAGATTCCACCAATAAAATAATTTTTTTGCTAACATTCAACCAATAAAATATGACCCACCAAGAAAATTGAACATGTTGAAGGGCTGATGCGTGATGTGAGGAAGGCTGTAGGATGGGCTACATGTGACTTTGGGCTGGAAAATAATAAAAGCCACATGGGCTATAGCTCAGGTTATCCTGTGATTAGGTCCGTCCCGTAAACATTATTTGTCATTATGTTCATTGATTTTTTGAGTATTTAGTTATGTGTGTGTTTGGATGTAGAATTCATTTTCTAATAGTGCATTCAGCTAAGACTGTATCTACCTAATGAGTTTGGGAGGTGATACAAAAGTTGTAGACTTGAAGCTTTTGGTCATGGATAATATAAAGTATAAAGATTAATCTAGCAAATAATTATTGGACAACAATAGTTTGTGAAACCTTTTCATTGAAAGAGATGCAATGGTTCTAATTTCAATCCTAAAAGTAGAGTCTGCTCAAACTACCAGCAAATGCTAACCAATGCATTCTTTTGCTTTAAAACTCCTTGGTGATGTTAAGAGAGAAAAAGGGCCATGGAAAATGACTGTGCTGTAAACTGTTTCTTTACAAACTGCATCACATCTGTAAATTTGTTTATTTACAAGTGGTTTCGGATTCAGAAGATTTTTTTGTAGAGATGATCTTTGATGGAATAACTAAAAATTAGACGGTTCGAATCATTAAAAGCCAATATGTGATGGCCTACAAGCATTTGAGGAGTCCCTTAATTGAAGCGCAAAAAAAAAACTGCGTTTTAATCTGACCTAGTGGCCGATCTGTATTGCTGGATATAATGAAAGTCAATTGACTTCAAAAACCCTAAAAGGCAATCTCCCTGTCAAATTAAACTCTTGGCCTTTGCCAAGTTGGCCCTCTATCTCTATGCTACTAAACCTGGAAAGAGTCCTCACACAACCATTCAATGATGATCAAGTGTGGGTATGTTGCTTAATGATAAGAACACCAAAATTAGTTTTATTTTATTTTTGATGAATTAATATAATTATGAACCCGTCATAGTTATGCATCATCTGGTGGATAAACATCTAATTAATCTCTCATCCATCCAACCATAAATGAAGCTCAACGGCAACTAAAATTACAACACACCCATGTCATCCATCTGCCTTCATTTCAAACATAATATTTCAATCAATCATGCATGTTAGTGCACTGCATTGCAAGCCAAACCAACTTCATATTACTTCTGCCATCTCTTTCTCAAATTCAATCACAGCAAACCGAAGATAAGCGCGCGCTAGAATGGTTTATCATCATCTATCGTTGTCGTCGGTAGGAAACTAAAATGATTAAGGCAAGAAACCATTAATAAAGTTGGGACTAATAAGTTATCAGAAAGTCATGCAGAACTCCTTAGAATAATTATTAGGCCCTACTGCTTAACATTGATCATCAAAAAGACAGATTTCGTGCTAATTAGGCAGCAGGCTAGGAACATTCTAGTACCAACCAAATTATATAAAAGGCTATTATTGATCTAATATTGCAGAGGAAGATGGCTGCACCTGCATCAATAAAGACAAATTTTATCTCCTGTTTTGTAATTTGTGGCAGAATGTGTGTGCCGTGGATGAAAGGTTATGTGTTGTTTTCATATTTATTGAGAAAACCTAACTATGAAGAAACTATAAAACCCAAATCCACTCTACCTAACTGTGGTGGCATCCTTTATCAGATTTTTAATATATATATATATATATATGTATATATATATATTTACACAGTTATTCTCTCATCCAGATGTCCGCACGTTATTATCGTGCAGATGCCATTATAAACTGGGAGGATAGCAGGGAGGGATAGTGGAAAATACATGGCGTTCGCAAGATAATAACGTCCGAACGTCCGCATAAGAGAATTTCTATATATCAGTTATTCTCTCATCCGGATGTCCACACGTTATTATTGTGCAAATGCCATTATAAACAATGTAAAGCAACCCATTATCCCAATTTTTTTCTGGTACAAATTTATATCCATTTTAAATGTAATGTAAGCGTGGATCAAACTGAAAGAGGGTCAAGTTATAATATGTGGATTAAAACTGTAACTTTTTTCATAATCCAGTAATTTTTTCATAAGACTGAAAAATCAATCAAACTTGCAACTACTGAATTCAGGTGACAGAAATAAACATTGCCTTATTAATCATTTATACACACCCATGTGTGTGTCTTCTTTTACGGCTTATCTGAGGTTTATTCATTAATTTCACTACAAGAGAACTCGTAAAATTTCGTTGAGACCTTCTCAACCTTTTTTTGGGAGATATGATTCGAATTTATGACATTTTCCAACGAAATAGTGAGAAACACCACGTTGGTAAGACCATTTCAACTTAAGCATAAACGACTGCTTCATTAAGACAGGGAACTTGTGTGTGAGTTGAACTTGAAGGCATGGATCAAGTAAGTGCAGCAAACATAACACATTTAAGTTGCAAACCTTATTTGATTACATTAAATACAAAGGGACAGATTAATATATTACAGAAAACACGTACAGTACTTAAGGATACTGCTAGTCATGAGTAATATTATATAGGTACGATACCAAAGCTATTATACTATTGTTTCTCATTCATACTGGGAAGGCCAAAGGAAGGCCCCCATGGCAAACTTCCTCTTTTGGTTGACATCTCCAATGACTGGTAGGCCATACTGTTTCAGAAGGCAGTCCAGTTTCCACTCCGGCATGGTCTCGTAGTCGCGCTTCTGGTACCTCGGGTAGTGCAGAGGCATCTGGAACTGACAGGTGGTGTTGTTCTTACTGGTTTGATCATGTCCTCCGAGCCGGGGCATAGCGAAGGCATGGTTGCTAAGGCCAGCTCCAATACTCATCTTCTCACTGATTTTATTTTCTCAAATCTACTTAGCAAATAAAAAACTCATGCAAAGTTGCTAGCTTGCTATTTAGTGTTGCAAAGTTGGCCTTTTATAGACATCCTAGAGAGCAAGAGAGAGAGCAAGATTATTCGAGTATGTGCTTGAAGACAAGAAATAGTGAGAGAACATCTAATGACTTGAAAGTAAAACATTTTGTGGATGGTGATGGCTCTTTTACCAGGGCAAGCTTGAGGGTTTTGAGAGTCACAATTCAAATCCTCAAGTTACATACAGCGAAACTTACCTATCTCCAAATAAATGCACAAAGATAGAATGATTAGGATTCTATAATTGAGTTCCAACTGAAACATCCACCACCCATTTTTCTAGATCTTTCAAACATTCAATGCAATGTGCGGAAATAATGTCCAACTTGATACTTCAATTTTCCTGCGTACTCTGTACATACCCAGTTGCCGTTCACTGCCGTAAGGGAAGTGTTAGATCCATTCACTGTTGGCACAATGTTGTAGGAAAGGTCTTGAGCTCAAAATTGTAGGGTTGTAAGAAAAGTCTTAACGTTCACACTTGGTGGTGTTGGCAAAACATGGACCTTGGATTTTTACTTGGCCAAACAATATAATAACGTGATTTTTTAAATTGATACGAAGGATGAGAAATTCGAACTTAAAAGACTTATTCTAATAAAGTAGAGAGAACTACTTCTACTAAACTATAACGATGTGGTTGATCAAGTAGGGTTCCTCAGCTTATCCTAGGACATTTCAGTAACAAGGGTCAAGTATGTAAATGTCAATTTGGTCTAGCCGCATTTAGTCTCCATGTCATATAGGAAAGTTCAAATCTCATGGACGAGAGTGTTTGTTTAGACGGAAAAAGATCCAAGTAATTTCACTCTCACTGCGTCATGACTCAACAGGGCAAGGTGGCCTTTGCATTGCCTATGGCTGCTCGCTTTCCTAACCCCACCAGTGTGCAGATATAAACTGGCCCACAGTTTCAGATACCACCCCCAAACTCACATAATGCTGACAGTAGCCTTAACCAAGTAACGCGGATTTTCTATCATATCCGTCCAACTTGGACCAAATTAGGTATACAGAGCTTTCTACAACTCTAGATGCAGAAAGTAGTCTCGAGAAATCAGAATCCGATAGGGAAACATTTCTTCCAGTCACAATTCATACTGACATGTAACTTTCAAAACTAACCCTGCTTAAAAGATAATAAAAACCACACCAATCTGGTTTTTCAAATCTATACTGGCAGTGTATGCTGAATAGCGAATACAGAATACAAGCGCATGTATACGTATTTATATGCATACACCACAAGTATGCACACTAATATATGCATCTATAATGTGGTGGATCTTAGTCCCATTACCAATAGCAATTGCCTTAATTAGGATAAGAACCTCATTAAAATGAAGAATTTGAATACTAAAAGAAAAAAATCATGATATTGTTTCAAGAAGTCACAAGTACATATAGACTTTGAACAGGCATAGCCAGCACATACAGAAATGAAGAACTTATGCCCCTAACCAAACCAGTCAATCTGTTAAAGTAAACAATTGAATCGGCCTCTGTCCACCTTCAAGACAGTAATCCCAGCTAGGCTTAATTGCTCTCTTTCCCAATCCAGGCACATAAAGGGTGTGTTTGATTCAAGCTATAGAACTTCTCAAAGCATGCTATTGTAGCAACCAACTGTACTACATTCCAGTTTGTGCAATTAGATGCAACTTCCAAAGGTATTTGTTTACTCGAAGAAGAGAAGCATCATGAATCTGATTTTCGTTCAACAGAAACTTCTTCCAGACTCTCAGTGGTTGCTTTTACAGGTAATGGTAAGTCTATCAGCATGTTCGGAGGGGCAAAATACATGTGTAGTGACATCATACAGATAATAATACCCAAGAAAAGCTGCAACAACAGAAGGAAAGAGAATGAAGTTATTAATAATCTAATATATGAGGAGAGGGGGAGAGAGAGAGAGAGAGAGAGAGAGAGAGAGAGATCACAAGTGCATGGAAACATACCTGCAATGTGGGCTTGAAAGTGAAAAGGTACACAGATAAAACCATTGTCAGCAGCATTGCCATTGAGGTGGAATATACCTGCAAGAAGCAAAAAAATGAACAGAGGAAGTTAAAAGGACCAAAAACAAAGTCAGGCCGGCAGTCGGTAGTGCTGGATTTGAAAGCAAAGAATGAACACGGGAAAAAGGAACGACTAAATTGATGCTAAACCCTATATTTCACCTTACCACACAGATCGCTTACCACTAAAATGAAATTTTGAAATAAATGATAATAACAATAATACCTATTACAAGAGAACCATGTATATAAGTCCGAAGTTCAAATAATTACCTTCACAATATTGTCAGCATACTTCATCAACCATGAAACAAGTAAACCAGTAGATCCAAGATTTAACACTACCAACCAAGTTGTAAGATTATATCCATTGAAAAGGCGTTGCCACCAAGGTCCATTCTCAAATCCACCCCTGAAATCATCGAAGAGAAGCCGTGCTATGTTGAAAATGACACCAAACCTGTAAGGGATTGCCATCACACCAACATAGTGGGATTGTTAGAAAACAGACAGTTAATCGTGCTAGGACAGTAAATAAAACTCATACAAACATCTCAAACAAAGAAATTTTTATCTGCTGAACTATCACAAGACAAGACACTGTAATGAATTAAAAAAATTATGCTACATTTTCCACGTCCTAAAAAGAGCATAAATAGGACTACATTCTTAGTTGTACTATATAAAAAAATAAGGAAAATATATATAACCTAATAAAATCAAATTGAAAAATGCCTTGATGAGCCTTGAAACAGTAACCAGTCATACTGTAAAAGTAGTAAATAGCATGTTGACGTTAGTCATAGAAAGCAAGGCATGGTGTGGAGAAAAGATACCTACGTATACAATTGTACATTCTGCCAGTACAAGCTATCATTGTTCTTCTTCATCAGAAACTCTGTGTAAACACCTGCTAATGCTGACATACAAGCGGATAGGATACCCAGCATATATCCTTGGATTGGTGCTGAGAACATAGAATTACACG